CCCCAACCCCCATTTGCAAGGGTTAAGTGCTCTTTTTTTTTCAAGAATATTTTTTTAATTTTGTTTTACAATACACTGCAAGTTGTAGATACAAGTGGAGCATACATTTACACATGTTGATAGGACAATAATGCTCGTAAGCCCCAACTTCAACTACATTCTCCATATATTTCAAAGGGGGCACTATACAGTGATTGTGCGTTTAACGATTGCCTATAAACATTTAAGTACTATTAAACTAGAACAATCAACGAACATCACATGTGGTGGATTCATCAGATGAAAGTGTTGGCGAATGTAGGGGGCCGCGTACTACCCGTACATCGCCCCCACCATACCTTGGGGAAAGGAAATGGTCAGGAGGTGGAGGAAAGGGTCAGAAGGTGGGGGAAAGGGAGGGTGGGGCGGGGATAGGGTTCAGCGCTACTATATAGATGGGAGTAAGGGGGATTTGGGAGGGAGTCTTCATCCTGAATTCAGAGTGCCAGTAACCTGGCATCAAATGAATTAGCCTGTAGATGCTGAATCCAGGGGTCCCAGATCAGTATAGAAGCGAGGGACTTTATCAGTCAGCCGTGCCATGAGGCGTTCATTAGCAAAGAACCATTGAAGTCTGCGTTCCAGTTCCGCAAATGGAACTGTGGTGGATTGCCATGACCTCACCACTATCTGCTTGGCAGCTGTGAATCCATGAAGCAGGAACTTGTGCTGTTTAGGTGTTATGCCCTCAGGGGGCATGTTGACTAGAGCTACTCTTGGGTCAGGCGTCAGTGTGAGAGCCATGATGATGGACATAAAGGCAAAGACTCTGGTCCAGAAGGACTGCACAGTGGGGCAGTGCCACCAAGTATGGATGTAGGAACCCACTTCCCCACAGCCTCGGAAGCATTGACCAGTGTGACCCGGAGTAAACATCCTCAGCCTACTCAGCACCAGGTACCATCGGAAGAGGAGCTTATAGTTGGTTTCCAGCGCCTGCATGCTCTGCGAGCTAGTCTTGGTCACTTCCCAAATGGTGCTCCAGCTATCCTCATCTATGGGGCTGCCCAGATCTTTTTCCCAGGCTAACATATAACTATTATTAGGGGGCGCTGTGCCCAACAGCACCCGGGCATAGATTTGGGTAATTAGGCCCGGCACGAATGGGTCAGTCGAACAGGTTCGCTCAAACGAGGTGAACATTGGACCTGTAGGGAATGAGGGTACTTGCGCAGAGATAAAATGTTTGATTTGTAGATAGCTAAACAGCTCGGTGGCTGGTAATTTAAAGGAATCACTAAGTTGTTAGGGCCCGCAGCAGTGTACAGTTTGTGTAGCACAGTCGCATCCCCTGATATCCAATGGCGGAATGCAAGCATGGAATCACAGCCAGGGGGGAAAGCCGGGTTTTTCAAGAAGGATAGAAGTGGGCGGTGCATAGACATCAGGTGACTCGAGTATTTATGTGCATCCCAGATGCGTAGGGAATGACCTGTGATAGGGTTCGATAATCTTTGTCTATCTTTGTGGAGTAACCAGAGGAGGTTGTGGACAGTCAAAGGGTCGCAGTCAACAGCTTCTAGGGAGACCCACAATGGGGGATCTAAAGTAGCGTGGTACTTTGGGAGTACTGCCAACTGGACAGCCGCATAGTAAGCTGAAACTTGGGGGACACCCAGGCCGCCTCCTAGTTTCTGTGAGTGCAACGTGGCGCAAGATATGCGTGGGCAGCCGGCCTGCCAGATGAAGCTAAAAATTTGGCGCTGCAGGATTCTGAGTCTATGTCGTTAAGGCTCTGTTCACACCTAGGCGTATCGAATATGCGCGTTTGTCGCGCGTTTCGTGACGCACGTTTTTACCGCGAATCGACAAGCGCGCGTTTCCGAGGGCTACTTGGCTGTATCCCAATGGAAACGCGCAACAAAAACGCTGCAAAGAAGCTCATGTAATGGGATTTTTATGTTTGAGCGTTTTGTAGAGCGTTCGTAGAGCGTTGAACGCGCTATAAAACGTACAGGTGTGAACCAGGCCTAAGTGCTCTTTTTTGTGTAGGTATAAAAAAAAAGGTATAGTCACCTGAACTTCAGAGCTGGCTGGATGTTAGATAGCTCCCTGCCACCTCACTCCCCCTCCGCTCCAGCAGCCTGAGGTCCGGTGAGTCATCACATTCTATACAGTGTATAGGATGTGAGAACGCAGAGGAACATACCATTGTTGGAGTGGAGGAGGAGCCAGGGGGCAGGGACCAGAATAGCAGCCAGTTAGCTGCGAGGTTCAGGTGAGTACACCTTTTTTATTTTCATACCTAGATGAAAATGAGCACTTAACCCTTACAGTGCAGGGGTAGCGGCACTGCAAGACTTAAGACGAATGATGCCTGGAGTTTTTCTTTAAGCAGAAAAAAATCTTGCCTTAAAGACTTCTGGCAGAAACAGCTAATTTCTGACTCACAGACTGCCTGCTAAAACTGGAGCAATGACGCTGAAACTATTAAAGCCCAACTCCAGTGGGATAGCGGAAAAAATGGGCACCCTACACCGCAAGGGTTAAATTATCATTAATTCTAGGGGTACAAGAAGAGGTGGTATTACTTACCTTAACCCCCACTCTGGCAGGCTTCATGGCTCTCCCTGTTTTTCTGCTTTGCAGAGAATCCCTCTGCATCATCACATACAATGCACTGCTATTAGCCTTGTATTATATATGAAGGCATGTGACTGGTGGGAGCAGCTTTGAGAGGAGGCTTTGTGGGACTGGTCGCACAGATGACCAGTGGCGCCACAAGGGGGGTGCGGCCTGCACCCGGGTGACACCATTGGAGTGGTGAAACCAAAATGACTCACAGTCCTTTTGGTGTCACCCCCTCTAAAAAGTCGGGCACTCTGTCAGGGACCGAGAGCCCGACAGTGTCAGGAGAGAGGAGGGGATCTGGCGGCATACCTCATCCCGCCTGAAACGTCCCCTCCTCTCTCTGCCGGCGTCCATCACTAAGATGGCCACCGGCAGGCATCAATTAGATGGCCGCTCATGCACGATGATGTCATCGCACACTTGATGACGTCACAGCGGGGTGTCACCTGGTCTCTGCTCCGCGTGACACCTGGCCTTGGGACGCCCCTGCAGATGATACAAACATTTACCATCCCTTTTATATATTGTCTGGAGTGCAGGTAATAAAATCTTAGGAAAGTGTAAAGACTGTGTTCAGAGAAGGGCAACCTCCACAGGCAACATTAATGTTAACTTTTTAAAAGACACAAGTGACATCATTTCTCGGTTCACTCAAGTGTTGTCTGTGTGCCATAATATTTTTTCCAGTGGAGCACGGTTTCATGTATGTAAGGCTCTTAG